GAGACTGTGTTCAGGAGGTCGAGAGGATATTTTATAATCTTTACCCATATACGACGAAACGTAATACGTGGTTTCATCTTAAATGAAAGATAAAAGAAAAACAGATTGTTAGGTAGCATCACTATCAGCGCAGAGGTTTTAAGTTCAACCATTCATACTCATGCAACATTGGCAGTGTAATCATTTTGAGCCTCTTTAATAAGAATAATCAAATATCCTCCAAAATTTCGTATCAAGAATAACAATAAGGGTCACCATTTTTGAAATAGGTTAACACTCAGATGGAAATCATAATGTGATAAAGGTTTGCTATCAAATATACTCTCTCTAAAGAAAGTAATAGGAGGTCCCAATCCGATAAGGGATGTTAGAAACATCATTTGATTCATCTTTTTGTTAAAAATTTCCAGTTATAACAGTATATAGAACATGCTGAAGTTTGATAATGAAACAAATAAATGTCTATTTTCAAGAAAAAGAAATCAGACATAAAAGAGGGAGCCGTTTAACACCAGCGTAAAGGAAATCAAAATAGTTTCTGTACCTGTTTCCCGGCAAGGTCCTCTTTGAAAGGTGAAGTCGTCCAGGGCTGCATCCCCTGAATCACCACCTCCTCTGATGCCATCAATGATTATCTTTTAGAGCAAGGGACAAAATAGAGGCTGATGATACGATACATTGTAAAAAAGGGGCACTGCCATTTTTACTGCCAGATGACACATAAGCTGCCTTTTTTCGAGAATGCTCTGCCTCTTTTATTCCCTATTCAAACCTGAATACGATATCACGGCTGCTTCTTTATTCTAATAATATGCGGAATCAGGTTCAAGAACCTGTCATTTTGCTATGGTTGGCCTAATGCGATAAAGGAAAGGACAATAGAGCAGGGAGCTAGAATCAAGTGTCGAGACATTCATGTTACCTGATACGTAAAGTTGCTGTAGATACTTAATTGCCCTTGTCTCCAACGGTCTCCTTGATCTTTCGACCGCAACCATATTGGTTGTAACTTCTCTCCAGCCTGGATTCTAATATACATAACCACACAACCCATGTGTGAACCAAACATATGGTAGAAGAAGGTCATACATTGTGGACCCCGCATCCATGGACTTGTCAACCTCGCGGTGTCTCCAGGCTGGCGAGGACTTGAAGCATCAATATAAATGTACGAGCCAGTGCCTTGATAAAAGGAAAGTAAACAGTCGAGCCTGTATCAAGCAACAACTAATTAAGTGATCACCCTTTGTTAAGCGGTCACTTGAACTATGATGATGAAATCATTATCCAAATGAGTCCAAACACCAAAATCAAACCGAGGAAGGCAAATGGTGAGACTGGAGAATTTTTAAATAGCTTTCCCTATTTTCATCTGATTTTTCCTCACTTAATTCCTCTTTTGTCAACCAAAACCATCTTTTTAAAAAAAGGGTTACGATTGAAAACTGCACTTTCAATGAGTTTTCCATAAAGAAGAAAAATAAGCGAACTTACGATAAAAGAGAGGAGTCAATTTGATGAACATTACGACTCGTTCTACCCATTATGTATTCCCTACAAAAAGTGCATCACGACCTAAGTTTTTGGTAAAAAAAAAAAAAGCGAAAAACTAAATACATTCCATGCTGGTTTCACAAACAAAGTATGACTAATCGACAATTAAAGATTAGTTAATTCTTCAACTGACCAATAGGAATGGTATTAAATCGACCGTACCTGAAGTATGATCACCGCTGGGTCCGGTCTGATACTTGGGTGCTCTGTCTCCTTGAGGAGTCCACTTGAAAATGAAATTTAAATCATTCTTCCAAAAGCAAAAATTCTGGTCGAAGTTACAGTTTCCTGCAGTATAAAAATTGTTGTGAGCATTGTCTGGAAGGAAAAAATTGCTAATGGAAAGCGGCTTGACGAGAAAAATACGCTGAAATATATCTAGAAAAGTAACGACTAAGTTACAATTACGAAGAAGACCTAAAAACGGTGATCTGCATTTGGAACCGACATCGTATAAATACCAGAAGCTACAATTATGTTGGTTCAGATATGCAAGCAGTAATAATCGTATGTGAAAGATACGAGTGAAAAACCTTGTTGAATGCTGTCAAGTTCACTTTCGTCGTCACACAGTCCATCAGTTAGTATGAAGTTATCCAAAGCTATAAGGCTTGTGTAATTTTTGCCAGGAGTTGCTTTCAGCGCAATCTGTAACAACAGAAATTATTCCAGTCGAAACAAATAGTGGGGAGGGTTCAGTTTAGATTAGCACCAAATTTACCATGAATGATAATTTTTGTGCATGGTTAGAGGTCTAGCCGATTCATCAAATCCTTTTACCAACCATTCTGAGGATGTTTCTTGTAAGCCAAATCGCAAATCGGTTCTAATCAAATTTTGAGTGAATCCTGTTATATACACGGTAATTTTGTTTACCTGCAATGGGCTGGCAAAAGGAGTAAAAATAGATTGCTCCTAGTGTAACATAACAACTTAATGATGCAGGAAAAGAAGACATCTGTAACTGAGTAGGACTAAATCTATTTTTCTGACAATTTCCTCTCACATTTTTATTTTCTACCTGAAATTCGCCGGTGTAGCCGATACCAATGCTACCTTGTATCCACCTATTTCCCTGATCTCCAGTTTTCTGCCATATTAAGTAATCCTCTTGCTGCCTCCGGACTTGAAGCAGGATATCAAGTTTTCCAACTTTCTGCCCGGACATGTGATATGAGAAGCGAAAACACTTTGGTCCCAGCATAAGAGGACTCAATAGATGGATGGACCGATTTTCTTTTATAGGTTTAGAAGTGTAAATGAAGTTTCCTTTGTGTGAAATTGTAAAATAATGTTACGAAAGTGTTATCACAGAGTTCAATTTAAAAAAGATGTTCAACTGCACTTTTAAAAATTAATCTTTGGCACTAATTGAATGGGAGGGAATTGGTTAACCCGTGAACTCCATTCAACTCCAAAATCTCTTTGAATTCAATAAGATAATAGCTCCTTTCGAGAGGCTCTTCTCACCAGCAAAATCTCCATTCTGTCCAGTTTTGTTGCCCGCTTTCTTCCAGCTGACCTGATCCGGTGACAGCGACAAGCTACGCCACCCACAAAAGTTTCCATTGAAAGTGCAGTTTACTAGAGTAACCAAATCGAAGCATAATTTAGATAGTTCTGAATGAATTTAAGACTTGTCTTTCCACTTATTTATTCTTCTATACGATAAACTTTTATGCTGTTAATTTTTGCCCACATAAGCCAATTACAGAATTACATCAGCGGTTAAACTTTCCTTAATGTA